GGGGGGGGGGTGGTCGCCATGACTCCATGAGGGCTGGGGGAAATTTGCCCAGGGTTGGGTAAACAAAATTTTGAGTGAGTAAAAGGTTGGGTAAATGAAAAACGAAACAACGGGTAATAAAAAATATTGTCATTTCCAAAATATGAAAGGGCCATTGGGAGAAGTACTATTAAGTAATCAATGTAATCCCTTATTAAATAAAGGTTTTTCGTGAACATTTCGCCCGCCCGCAATTTTATGGGAGGCCTGATTTGCAGCGGGCAGGATTTTGGCGGGCAAAAATCGGAGGCTAGTTTAATTTCGCCCGTTTTAAACGTTTTTAATTTTCGAGGTCAGTGCTAAACTGGACCAACGCGATTACGTCATCCGCCAAATACCGCCGAGCAACAATAACCACAGGCTCGTCCGAGCAAACATGGTAGAAATTTAAGTTGGAACGTTTTGAAATTGGAAGCAAAATATCAAAACTTTTCATCGTTTTTCTCCTTTTAAAACCACGTGAAAATATTTAATAGAAGAATGGCTAAACTGGTGCGGGTTTGTCGCAACACCGAGGACGAAGAGAGCTTGGATAATTACCAAATGCCGCTAGTAATAGACGGGGATTTGAAAGTATGTCGAATCTTCAGTTTTATATATGAATATTTACTAGGTTTTGTAGCGCTTTTACCCGCTGTATTTCACATGCTTGACAAAGCAGGAATGTTTGCCTTAAAATATACAAATTATTTAGTAATTTTTAGTCCTTTACCTCCCGTTAGTACGACGAGTTTAGTGGTAAAATATATTGCTTTTTGATATTTTGTCGGTCATATTTTATATACTAGACTATTATCTTATTTAATACTGCGCAGTGTAATAAGTTAATACTAATAGTATTAATGCTTTCAAATATTACAGTACATAATGTTATTAGGTAGTTTTTTTAGTAGAAACCATTGCTTTATACACAAGTTTTAATAATTTTTCATCCCTCCCATCAAAATTATTAGTTTCAATATTTGAAAATTATTGCAGTCATTCCTGTGACTTTAAAAACAAATAAATGTCAAAACCTGTTGGAATTTATTGGTTACATTCGATGCACTCTACGTCGGGAATCTCTGGTGTTAGGTTACAAATTTTGTTAACATATTGGCGAAAGATTACTCATTATCTGTTTGGGTATATTACCATTTGTATTCAAGCATTGCCCCACGCCACGATAAATAGTTGTTTCAGAGTTTCGCAACCAACGTTATGATTGGACAACTTTATGTGTCGCATGTCAAAATAACGATGACTTTGTGTTTCACAACGGTCACTTTCTCTTTCGTGTTGAGGCAATACAATAACAAACCGAATTAAAATTACAAGGATTAATATTTTGGCCATCGTTTGACAAATTAAAGGTATTTTTGAACAGGATACATTTTGATCATACAATGAAACAAAAATACTCAAAAGTTCCAGAGGAATTTACAACAATATATAAACATATTGAACAGAAAATGATGTCATCACAAAATTTTGACTTGTGAAATGTAAAGTTGTCCAATCACAACGTTGGTGCAAAACTCGGAAACAAGTTATGTGAATGCAAATGGTAATATTGGCATGAGATTACTTTACAGTCTTATTGTCGATTTCATGTCTCTTTTCAGCATGTGGGTCCCAAGTTTGTTACGAACTTGCAAATTATGTTTACAAGTTTCAGTAATTACATGCCAACTTCACAGAAAAGTTCCCAAGTTCATTCCAATGTTTGAACCTCTATTTTAAACAAATGCTTATAGTCCAAGTTAAATTACTGTATTAACAATTCAATGGAAAGTTCTTGGTCCAGTAGTCTACCAAGAAAGTTTGTATTTCATTGAATTGGTTATTGTTATTGAGTATGAACATTTGTTTACAAACGAAGTTCCAACATTGAAATGAACTTGCCAACTTTGTGACAATATCACATCCAATTTTCGAAATTGGAAATGTAAGGCCCAAAAAAAAATACCTGTGGTTTGATATCGTGAAAAAATTAGGGTCGGTAGGTCGGAAATAATTTTAAAAAAAATTTTTTCATGGTTTTGGCGGTTTTTTGCTTGGCGATTTGTAGCAGAGTTCCGACATCAGTATTAACTAGAGATGCGTATTTCCTATGGCGAATTTAGGTAATTTCGTTCAATACTTAGTGTGACAACAGGCGCCATTTTTGCATGCTGTATGAGCAGCCCACAACCACCCGGAGAAAATAGGGTTGTGTGACGGTCAATCATGTTGAAAAAATGATAGGGTCAGCAAAAAAATAGGGTCGGTCAGGAACCGGAACCACAGGTATTTTTTCTTAGGCCTAATTGGCAAATTTGTGACAAACTTGGGATCGATGTTTTGAAAAGTGACTTGAATTCAACAATAAAAGCACACAAGATTTTTTTACCTGAAATATTTTACCTGCCATGTATACTGTACTGTAGGTGTTGTAAATTTTGCAAATTTTATTAATTTATGTAGATGATCATGGAAATTCCTTCAAATGAAATACTATCTTTGGATGAGTATTTGGACTGTGGAAGTTACAGTGATTTTTTTAAAGTAAGTATAATGGCGAGCCCCCCCCCCCCAATAATTTTGAAAGACTGTAAAAATCTTGTACCAAATAACACAAATCATACTCATATAACGTAATTGTGTCATCATAATATAATAATATATGTTTCTGTACTCATTTTCTCACTCCAGTACAGCATAGGCATCAATACATTTGAGGTTGATGGCCCGTCAGATTCACTGCATAATGCTGTAGTGAAACCCAAGAATTGAGTAAATGACGTCACATGGTTAGAAACAAATTGAAATATCTCAATAACTAAGCATGGGAACAAAAATCTTCAAAACAAGTTACTATACAGTTTTAAAAACATTTTTGTTTAAAGTGCCTATGACACAAAATTTCACCCCAAAGGTTTATGGTTGTAAAGATCACTTAAAATGACTTAATAATTTCTTTTATAGAATTTTGGTAACTTGCTCCCTTTTCAAGATATTCAACTTTGTTTCATATGCAAATATCACCAGTGTGACATCACATCACATAATGAGTTTGCAGAAAAGTATACATATCTAAAAATTGCCCTTGTATATGTATTAGTTTCATAACTGGTAATTAACCCTCTGTATTTGTTTGTAAACATATTTTATCAAGGTAAAATATTGCGTTTTCAAAATGTCATTATGCGATGTGATGTCACACCGGTGATATTTGCATATGAAACAAAGTTGAATATCTTGCAAAGGAAGCAAGTTACCAAAATTCTATAAAAGAAATTATTAAGTCATTTTAAGTGATCTTTACAATGCAATAAAAACATTTGGGATGAAATTTCGTGTCATGACAGTGCCACTTTAAATTTTGAAGACTTTGAATTTATAAAGTCAAAATATAGCCGTAAACAATATGTTAATTGTATCAAATTTCATCATCATTCTACTTTTACTGTATATTTCTACAGACATACGAAAAGATGAATGTTGATGAGCTAGCAGTGTCATGTAAGGTGACGCACAATGAAGTCTTGTCATTTCTCTCTCAAGCTGTTCCCTGTGTTGGGTGTCGACAAAGGTAACGTAGCTTCTACTAGACAGCCAGAATGGGCCAGAAAAGATCCATATACTCCCCCCAGAGAGTACATCTTACTTCTGGTAGTAGTAAAATTGATGTACAATACATAGGATGTCCAAAGGGGGTACAGTGGTTAACTTTCAATATTATCTGCAGGGGTGGAAAAAATAGGCAAGCACGATATCGCTGCTCACAGGAAATGTTAAACAGCTGCAGGAAATTTGTTTGAATGAAGATTTGCTATTGAAAATTTGAAGGAAACCTTAACACCCATGTCCCACTATGGGCACAACAACGTATGGTTGACTATATGTTTATGCACTGATCTCAGCCGTGAGGACCCTTGGAGTGGCGGAGAAACAGTCTGCGATCAATCAACACTATTAAATGCCGTATTAAACGTTTCTCCGCCGCGCCAGGGGGGGGGGGGTCAGCTGAGATCAGTCTGCTATCGCAGACTATAAAAATCCATGTGATATATAAATATTTCTGTGTCCATTATAGCGTTGAAAAGCTTTACAATCACATCAAGAAAACAAGTCAGCCTGCTCTACAACCACTGATTATAACACAGTCCGGAGGTAATCTTTGAGTTCTAATTAAACAGCAACAATGTGCTTTACTTCACCCTCATCAGCTGTCTGATGCTGTGTTCCCTGGAACTAGGTTATTCTTATAACCAGATAGACGTTTTTGTCTTTTTGACACATCAATAAAGTTCCTAACTAACTATTTTACTTAGGGCTTTATACAGGCAGCTGTCTGTGGATGGTCACTTTTGAATTTAGACAGCCATTTTTAATGGACAGCCATGGAGGACTTATGAAAATCCAACTCCATGTTTTTGATATTTCTTGAACACCTCAAACGTTTGTGACGTTGTCTCGATATTTCTTGAATATCTCAAAAGTCTGTGAGTGTTTCCACACTGGATAAGCTGAAAAGTTTGCTTGACCGCTGTGGGAATCGAACCCGCGGCCTTTGGTTGCTAGTCCAATGCTCTTCCAACTGATATCGAAAGAACCAGATTGAGAATCCGACTTGATCTTGTAGCTCAGTTGGTAGAGCATTGGACTAGCAAATCAAAGGTCGTGGGTTCAATTCCCACCTTGGTCAAGCAGCCTTTTTGCTTGCCCGGTGTGGAAACACTCAGAGACAACATCACAAACATATATCTTCACATAGTGCATAATACCAGAAACAAATAAAAAGCTCGAAAGTTGTCTGTTGCTATTTACTTTATACATTGCTTACGTCATATGACAATTGATTTCATGCACCATGCACGGCTCAAAGTAGAGAAAAAATATGGCCTGCCAATCTAAAATCAGGGCTTCAAATTTGTGGTATCCCGATATCCTGGCGATACCAGATTTTAAATTTGGATACTGGAAATCACAAGTTCAGTATCCTGACAGATACTGAAAAAAATTCTGTTATTTATTAAAGTGATCGGCTGAAGTTAATTACCATATCAACGCAAACATTTCATGCCACGCTGTCAATTAAAATAGCTCGTCTTCATGCACTCATATTCAAAATTTGTTGGTAAAATGGTAAGATACATTATACGAACCGAGCGAACAAACAAATCTACTGAGACACAGCAAATATTAAGTGATGAACAAGTTGAAGAAAGACCACGTATTAAGTAAATTATCAAGTGAACGAAAAATGTTTTGCAAATGTGGGATACTAGATTTTTTGGGTGGATACCAGATTTTTTGGGTGGATACCAGATTTTAAGTTGCTAGTATCCTGTTGGATACTGCTGATAAATTCAAATTTGAAGCCCTGAAAATTTTTTTGCAGGTGAAATAAATTTTAGCCTGCCATTTTTATTCATTGAACTGCCAAAATGGCGATGTCTCATACGAGTCTTATTGTAAAAATCAATGTTTTCATGATATGCATTTTTATTGTTTTAAACTTGTTTATTTTACTACTGCAGTAAACTTGGATTTGCATTTAAAATATAAACGTATTTAGTCAACTAAATGATCTAGTATATATGAGTTGTGGTAAGCAAATGAAATGAAATATATATATAGAATTTCACCTGCCTTTTTTTTACTTTGGCAGTTCAAATTTTTTTTTGCATGCCATTTATAAAATATGGCTTGCTTTGGCTATTGGCAGCCCGCTATTTCGAGCCCTGGCTGGCACCATGTTTTTGTCACCAAGCCCACGAAAATAGGTTGGCACACCCCATGACCCCAGCCAGGCTCTCTACGTTTTATGGTCGTTTCGTCCCCTCTCCGTTTCGTCCCCTCTCCGTTTCGTCCCCTCTCCGTTTCGTCCCCTCTCCGTTTCGTCCCCTCTCCGTTTCGTCCCCTCTCCGTTTCGTCCCCTCTCCGTTTCGTCCCCTTTACGTTTCGTCCCCTTTACGTTTCGTCCCCTTTACGTTTCGTCCCCTTTACGTTTCGTCCCCACACTAGATGCCGTTTTATCTATAAACCACTTTATATTACTTTTTCTATGAACTATATATACATAAGATATATTTATATTTGTTTCTACTTTGATCACTCATAATTTTGTCATCATGTCACTATTATAAACAATACGATGACCAAATCGAAACGGTCCCACGTGTATTATCCAGGCATACAATCCACCGAGATACAATCTCATAAAACAGAATTATCCTCAATACAAGAAAGTGTTGCATCCATAACAGAATCAAAAAGCTTGCAGTCACTGAGTCATGCAGTGTATATATATATAACAATGAAAATATATGGATAACTTCTATAAATGACAAAGCTGACTTCATGATGACAAAATTATGAGTGATCAAAGTAGAAACAAAAATAAATATATGTTATGAAAAAGTAAGATAAATAGTTTATAAAGAAAATGGTATCTAGTTTGGGGACGAAACCTAAAGGAGGCAAAACGGCAAGGGACGAAACGACCATCTACCCTCTCTACTCCCGCTTCCCTCCCAAATGGAGCGTGTTTGGGGGGGAGGGGGGAAGCGGAACTAGAGAGCCCGGCTTGCGAGGTTGCAATGACCCCAGTATTTTATGGACGGCCAATTTTGTCACCCTGGCAAAATGCTTGCCTGGCATTCAGTGTGTTAATTGTAGCATATTGATGTTTTGTGTAGTATTGACAATAGACCCATCAGTATTGAAAGATCCATTTTTGCTGCACACATTTTTGTATTATCGTGGGTAAGTATTTTAAGAAATAACTGTATTGCAGATTGGAATTTACTGACACCAAAAACCAAAATATGGTTTTCTATTGAATATTATATAATAACGTTAAGAATTCAAGCACTTTCATTGGTCGAGAGCCATGATCTATTAGAGAACAGACGTACGAAATGACGTCACACAAAACCTTATCCAATAGCATTCCCTTATTTGTATAGATCGTGTACGCGTGATATTTGTAAAATTTCGACTTTTTCAGATTTCCAAATGTTTGGGTGGATAAAAAGTAATCTATTTACCTGTTTACACCCGTTTTCAAAATTACGCGACCAAGGACAAAAATGTCAGTTTTATGTCATTCGGTCACGAAGTTTAAACTTTGAGTTTTGCGGTTCCTTGTCGATGTATATGCTTTGTATGCTTTATACTAGGAGTTACTATCGCAAGGAAAGTGCTGCCTCACCCCCAAGGGATCAAAGGCAGCATGCAGAATTTGCTGAATAAGGGTCTGTTTATATTATCCTGCTTTGCCGTATTACTTGTAAAATAAATTACTGTGCACGATTCAACAAAAAACTACATAATTAACTGTAAACTAAAGGTTGTTCAAGGAGCAATAATAGTCTTTTTGAACTACAACATTTGAATTCTGTTGACTTATTTCAATACATTAAAATCACCCCGCCTTCCAATATTTACAGTAAACAACCCCTACGACACCTGTTCATGAGGTAGGAAAAGTGCAACTTGAATATCAAACACCTTTCACAAAGTCAAAAGTCAGCTAAATATTCTATTTCTACTTTCTTGGCATTGGGCATGCAGTTTTATATGAATACCTTCAATGCTTATAATTTCTTGTTTTTGTATATACAATTACAATACTGTCTGTGGCAAAGCTAGCCATGCCAAAAGGTCATAAACTATGCAAATTTTTAATTATTTGCATTATTCAAATATGCAGGTTTATAATATACCAGTTGCCATGGCTAGCTAGCCACTGAATACTGTATAATATCATATACACAGTGTCTCAAAAAAAAGTGAACCCTTTCAAATTTAACAGCTCTAATTGCTTTGAATTAATGATTGGGTAAGAACACAAGGTCTTGTACTCATGGGACAAAACTCAAAGAAATAAAAATTAGAAAATTTAAAAGAAATACAGTATACCTTGTGTTCTTACCCAACTATTAATTCAAATTGCAATTAGACTGCTGTCAAATTACTAGTTACTATAATACGTTATAGCTAATTTGAATTTGAAAGGGTTCACTTTTTTTTGAGACACACTGTAGAAATACTAAGTCTGTTTTTCCCAATTATTATTTACATTGGCATCTTCAAGGCTGCCCCTATTGCAAATGAACCAAACAATCTGATGGGGAGACAAAATGTATTTTTAATTAATATGTCAGCTTCAGATGACACCATTCATTGTACTCAGTCAGAGATTGTACTCAGTCAGAACCGCAAAACTATATAATAAGAAAGAAATTGTGAGCATTATCGCAGAATATTCTTGGGTTTCATATGACGTCACAGAAGTGACGGGGGGTCAACTCTAAAACAAAATACAGTTATCAGAGTGAGTCGATTGTTCGTTTAATTTATGTATTAGTCTTGTGTTTGGTGGCAAATACATGGAATTTCATATCATTTTCTCACTCCAATACAGCATATTAGCATCAATTGACCCCCCAACAGATTCACTGCATAATGCCTTAGTGAAACCCAAGAATAAATAGCATACCCTGAAATGTATTCCATGACACAGCCAGGTGAATGTATGAGTACAATAGGTCGGTAGGATTATTTCATATTATGTTAAAGATGCTGTACAGTCCGATCTGAGCATGTGCACAAAGGAGCCCTCTTTTATACAAACAGTTACGTTTATTTAGGTTTTATTTCGTTTTATGTTCTTGCAAAGCTTGATTGTTGTGTCTTGATAATTTATTATACTCTAGAATCATGAAAAATAAATAGTTCTCGAATAAAATTCTATATTTTGGATACCGAAATGTAAACAAAGCCTTTGTTTACATACGGACTGTACTGCATCTTTAACAATGGAGATGTCTCAGAGATAAACAGGCCATCAGGCATGCACGATACCCGGCCTTGTACAAAAGTCGGTTGACATGCTATTTGCATGTAACTGCTGGTAGCCTGGTAAGTTAATATATACAGACAACAATCCCCACACTGGGTTGCAATAGGAATCTTATTCAATAATATAAAGCCTGATTCAGATTACGTGCACAAGTAACAGTCCGCGTTTGTGTTTAAAACGTGCTGAAAGCACCATTGCTATAAACATCTAAAATGAACACTATAAACTCATCGCCTTGGCACATCGCCACACAAACAAACTTAAACTCAAAGTGCATTTTCACTCCTTGTATATAAAATTATAAGACATTATTGACATGAAATCAAATGTTTCAATAGTCAATACCTCTGTATCGAATGCTAAACAGCAGATCTAAATATATTAAATGCTTTCATGTATATCACCAAAAAGAAATAACGCCATTCTTACCTGATTTATTCTTTGATATTCGTTTGCAATCCAACATATAAACTCGTATGGTCTCGTATTAAAAGTTTAAAACTGCTTGCACAATACAAAATAAAGTTTGACCGCCCCCCTCGTTTAAAAAACTTCCTGAAGCTTAATTATTCCTCCCGGAAATCATCTTTACAGACAGACAGACACAAATCGAGATCTCGACAATACATAGATCGCGCGAAAGACTGGGTCGAGTGGACTCTGGAGAAACCACCGCGTGTCAAGAATAGGGTGCTGCCTTCGGCAGCAATAAACATGCTTACAATGATTTTCAAGATATTTTAGTGAGAATTATTGCAAAATTTAAGCACAAACAAAATCATAACATATCGTTATAGTCTAGCGCGCGTGTTTTATACGGACAGCTAAATTCCAGGATAAATTGTTATTTTTCAAACTTTAAAAGTTATTCACGGCACATATTTCTGTTGTGATGGTTTGTATAGTGCTTTAGTTTGTATATCTAAGTTATCTAGCTCCCTTTTGGTCAGTTTTGGTCATATTAAATACGATTTAAAATGTCTTTTGCCAGTTTGTTTACGTTCGCTATTTTTAGCAGTTTTTGTGACATAAAACTGACATTTGAGTAAGAGTATTTTTCAGGGAGGTCGCGTAATTTTGAAAATGGGTGTAATTCGGGGGTTTTCTTTTTATTATATAAAACAAATAGGTAAGATTTTGCCGCTGTCTGTTCAGTTATAGATCAGTATGACGTCATAATGTGGGAATAACTGAAAACGAGTCCTTCCAACATTATGACGTCATACTGTGTATCTAGAGACCTTACGATTTTAGGACTGCAACGTGACGGCAACGGCTACCAATACAATAGATCATTGCAAAGAATTGAGTAATTACAATATATGAATAATTTAGACATTGTCCTCGCTCTGTTTACAACGCTAAATCACAGATTTTCACGTCTTGATACAACGGCTGCATTCCAAGTGCAACTACAAACTGAGTTTAGCAGAACTCTTCCCAACCATAAAACAGATGTTTTCAACTTCTTAAACTGTATTAAATTCATACGATTGATAATATACGACGAACTATCTTTACTACCATTTATTTGAAGGAGTTTGTTTTGGCCGTCGCCGTCCTAAAATCGTAAGGTCTCTTCTATAACTGAAGAGACAACGGCAAAATCTTATCTATTTGTTAATAGCATTATTATCAAAACAGTTTTTTACTTTCAAGCTATATTGAAAAGTACCCTTACTATTTTGTTTCAAATGTAATTGTTTGCGACTCTGCAACAAAAATGTCCAAATGTGTTGTTTTTTTATTGAATAGGAATCATTAAACGTGTATCCCCACCCACAAATACGTTTACCAGTGACCACCCCTGTAGACTGTGCCACAGATGTTACAATTATTGTAAAATCTGTGACACCCTTGTGCCCATGAAAATTATGTTTTCTTTTCTCTCGCAGCTCAAAACTAAATGAAATTCTTGAAAGCATCCCAAAATGCAGGAGAAACAGGTACTGCAACAACATGTTTTGTTATATTAAAGCTAGGGTGAACACCGTGTTTTTTAAACGATTTCAGCAGCATATCCCGTTGCCTGTTGTGTATTTTTCTTCTCTTTTAATTTTAACACAACTTTGAAAATCGTAGTTTATAAAGTCGCGATTCGTGCCGCCATTTTGTTTATTTATGTACGTAGCCGGTCGGGGCGAGCAACAATTTTTCACTTGTTGCCCAGCGGGATGCATTGCATTTGTCCAAAGCCACGTCATTTGTCCATCAGCCATGTTTGGCAATAAAAAGTTAGGCAATCATGTTTGGCAATAAAAAGTTAGTTTGTCTCATTCAAAAGAACTCCAAAAGAACTCTTAAAATTATATATTAAACTCTATTACCGATTTGTCATATCTTGCTTAGTTCTCGAAATATTTAGACCGAAATTAATGAGCTGTTCGCCATCTTGGACTATAACTCTTGACCTCATTAACTATGGTTTTGATGACGTCAGGAGTTGGGTTAACCATATAAAACTACTCTAAAATGACCGAGTAACAATCCAAAATTGTTTGAAATATTTTTAATCATTTCTAAATTTCAGACAGCAACCAGAAACGAAG